CTTTAAGGAAATTTAAGAGTAACTTCATGAGAAAATCCCAAATTCTCTATCTATGATTTTGAAATCTTTCCATTTCAATTTTCTGTGACTTTTACTTTATACTGGATTCAAATTTGTGAAGCTGCTACAGGGACCACAGGGACGTGGGAGGCCCATGCTACCACCTATGGCCAAGGTATTGTCCAGTCCTTAAATGTGGCTGTGGGCCTTGTCTGGGTCTGTGGTCCTATTGCAACAGTGTTGGTGCTGATGTCAGTAGCTCCTGTTACCATTGCAGGGTGAGCAGATACCTGGGAGTGGGGGTGTGGTGGGGGTGCAGGAATACTGGCAATTGGGAGCCATGCTGCTACTGGGGCCATGCTGCTCTGGGTGATCTGCAATGCTAATTATGGCCACAGTGACATCCAGGCCCAAGCTGTTGCCACCAAAGACCACACTGATGCCCAGGATCTGGGCCTCCACTCATGTGGCCTTCTTGGTGCCCAAGGCCTGTGCTGTTGCCACCTGGGGCCAGAGAATTATACGGGCCTGAGTTGTGGCCCTGCCACAGCCAGGGTCTGTGCTGATGTCCAAGTCTCCTGTTGTCATTAAAGGCTGTGTGGATGTCGTGGATCTAGGCCCACACCTGGGGTTGTGTGGGAATCTGAGGGCCATGCTGTCATTGGGTACATACTGACCTGAGTGACCTGCACTGTTAGCCAGGGCCATGATGACATCTGGGCCCAGACTGCTGCCAAGGAGCACATCTTGGGTGATGTCCCACCACAGCTGGGGTCTGTTTGGATTTCCATCACCCATAGTGCCACTAAGGGAAACATGGACATTAGGGGCCTGGGATGTCACCTAGGACCAGGTTAGTGTCCAAGGTTTAAGCCTCTGCCAGTGCCATGCATATTTGAGTATCCTGCACTGCCACATATGGCCAAGGAGTTGTCTGAACCTGGGCTGCTACCAGGGGCAATGTCTTTGTCTACGGCCCTGCCAGTGAGGTCTATGTTCATGTCCATGGTTCCTGTTACGACCCAAACCAGTGAGAATGCGGCTGTCCAGAGTTGGCCTGGCCTCTCATTGGCTGCAGCACAAAAGAGAACTAGCCTTGCCCCTCACCAACTGCATCACTCAGGAGAATGGACCTTGCACCTCCCTAGGGCAGTCCAGTAGAGCTGTTTCTGCTAGCAGGGGTGCGGGTGAGCCAACTATGAAGATGTAAGAGTGGGAGAGCTAGCCCCACTGTGTGTTACAGGGTGACATGGGCAAGAAGAGATATCCCATACCCTTTTCTTCACTCCTTGCCACCTACAGCAGGCAGGAAAAGTGGGTCCCGAAGTCATGAGAGTAGGAGAGCTAATCTTGCCCCTCACTGGCTGCTTCACCCAGGAGAGTGGGTCCTGCACCTAGCTCAGGAACAATAGAACTTCCCCTATTAGTTGGGATGCAAGTGAACTGGCCCAAATGGCATGAGAGCAGAGACATCTGTCACGTGGGAGCATGGATATAGAAAATAATACCCTCCCTCTCCTCACCCCTTACCACCTGTGACAGGTGAGAGAGCTGGCCCTGCCCCTCAACAGCTGCAGCACATGAGACAACAGACGTGGCACCTCACCTGAACAGCATAGTAGAGCTGACCCTGTTGGCGAGGTGCAGGTGAGACGGGCCTATGGGCATGAGAACAGGAGAGCTGCCCCCACCCTGTTCTTAGTATACCATGGAGTGGCAATAGTAAGGGAAATATGCCCTACTCCCTCTACCCTCGAGGGCATGAGAATGGAAAAACTGGCCCTGGCCCTCACCAAGTGTAGAAATTCAGAGAGCAGGCTCTGCCCCTATCCTAGGAATAAATACAACTAACCCTGGCGTTAGGAATGCAAGTGAGCCAGACCCGAGGGTGTGAGAGTAGGAGAACTGGCCCCACTTCTCGTTGTCTGCTACGTTGGGTGAGCTAGCCAGGGCAGTGCTGGTGAACTCATCCAGGTGGTGATGATGAGGGGAAGCAGGCAGGCTGAAAAACTCAGCTACCACCCAGGCACAGAACAAGGATTATGAGGTTGTCTACTCCACCATATCTATGAACTATTGGGGTGTGGTGATGGGGCTGGACCTGCATATCCAAAGCTACATGATCTTCATGACGCAAGGCAACAATAGAATATTCAAGAGGAGTCCCAGTGAAGCCCAGTGTAGATAGTGTAGCAGAAGCCAGAGATCTCAAACCAGACTAGTGACTCATAGCAATGAACACTTACAAGTAAAGATGTATGGACTAAGGTTAAACTGTGTGACTCACTGGGCTACACTACAGCTTCCACACTGAGATTTGGGTTTTTTTTTTTTATTTAATTTGTTTGTTGTTTTTTTAAATTTTGTTTTACTTTTAATTTTTGTTTGGAGGGGAGGTTGCAAGGGCAGAGGGCAGAAGTGAGAGAATGGGAAGATGTGTGGGATCAGGATATGAATTCCACAAACAATAAAAAGTTTTAAAAATTGTTTGTATATGTTACTCTTTGTACATGGAAGACATTTCTAGTGCCACACAACAATGATTCTTAATGACCACATGATGATTATAGACATCTGTGGCCAGAACTTCTTTAAGCACATTACAAGAATTCAACAATTTGGTACTTGGAGAAGATGCAATGTGACATGGCATTTCAAGGTCATATACCTATGGGAACTAGAATTTTCAATTAGAAATTATGGACCCAGTATCTTTGTTCCTTGCAACCAAGAAGAGGCTTGTGCATGTGATGAGCTCACAGTAATGATATCATGACATTGTTATTCACTAAGCATTATCATGTTTTAATTGTTTGGGAAATAGCTGCATACACATGGAAGTAAATGTGCTCTTTCATCCTCTGACATGCAGTTTTGGAATCAAGTATATCAACCTGTTTCTGATGTGCCTGCCCACAGAGTAATATCATATAAATTCTCTTATATTAACTTAAATTAATTATGGAATAATAATACAAAATTTGTAAGTAGAGATTCAGAACCCAATTTCAAGACTGTTATGTAGAACCCACTAAACATTAAGTATCAATGTTTGTTCTTCCTTCTATTATAGCTAATTAATGACTGGATCGTACAAGATTATTAATTTTTAACTTTTAAAATTTTTCAAGATAAAATATAATTAGAACTTTTCTCCCTTCCCTTTCCTTCCTCCCAAACCTCCTACATCTACTTCTCCACTCTCCTTCAAATTCATAGCTTCTTATTTCATTACATGTTATTGCATGTGTGTGTGTGTGTGTGTATGTCTGTGTGTGAATTCCTAAATATAACCTATTCAGTCCACATAATATTATTTGTCCATGTGTTTTTATGGCTCACCATTTGGCACTGGAGAACCTGATTGATGTGCTCTTCCTGGGAAAAGACCACCTCCCATCTCCCAGCTTTTTATAGCTGACCATAGTTCTTTGTGTTGGGTTGAGGCCCTATGGGCTTTCTCAGGTCTACTTTGGCAAGTCCATCGGTGTTGTCCTTGGTCAGCTCTTGTTTGGGCAGCAATATTTGTAACATCTTATAGATTTAGGTTCAGACATTACTGGGAGATACAAACTCACCGAAAAATCCCTGATCCTTTGGCTCTTATAAACTTTCCTCACCCTTTTTTTCAATGATCCCTGATCCTTTAATTTCGAAATGTTTTGTAGATATACCCATTGGTACTGGCCTTAAGACTAATTTTAAAGAGTATTTTATGTCCTTCTGCAATATCATATATTGTAGTTCTTTATAATGTGACTGCTAATTGAAAGTGTCCAATTAAGAAAAAGAACACATATACCATACTAAGTTTACTCAGTAAAGATCATGGAACATGTCTTTTAGATTTTAAAGAAAACAATCATAAAATAGATGAAACTATATTAAACTAGATGTTCTCAATTCTCACTTTACAAAGTGCTTTTTTAGGAACATGCCCCTGCTTGTACAAACTGAATTGCTAGTCCAATATTTTTATAATCATTAATTTCATTCCATCATGTCCACTTTCCTTAATTCCAACATTTCAAAATTTTCACAGACTATTTACAAAGCTCACAAACCATTTCTTTCAGCCTCTTCTCAACTGAATCTTATACTATGTAGTTTGGAATAGTTCAGAGTTATCACATTTACTTGGGGTGCTATCATATACTGTTCTTTCACAACTGAAGGTATAGGAGGAGTAATAAGGGAAAAAAGAAATATCACCATAGAATGGTAACAATCGGAGAAAGTGGGATGTAATCTGCTTTCCTCAAGTAGCCCTAGAAGCAGTTCCTCTTTCACTACATGAAATATCTTTAAATACATATTTTAAGATGTCTTTTCTAAAGAAAACAAATGGAAGAATTAATATACATAACCTTTTCTGAATCACCATGTTAAAAAATACATAACCACCCCTTTAATGACACTTCACATGCAGCACGCCAAAGATATCTTGCATTTAAGAAACACTTCACCATTCAAAGTAGAGACATGAACACCAAAAATGCCTCTTGTACAAACTACCTGGTACAATTCACTAAGTGCAGAGTGAGATCTTTGTACTGTACACACTTGTAGCCCTGTTATTCAGGTCCACAGGACCTTCCATGAGAGATCTAAATCATTCCTTAGGAAAGAAAGTCGATTACTCTTAACTTATGATAAATCTTTTGACTTTGCAATAGTATATATTTCCACTTTTATAACTCATGAATAGCAGAAAACACATGCTTCCCTTAACTTATTACATTAATTTCCCCAAATGCTGTATGCTTTTCAAATTAACTATTAGACAAAATGAACAAGTTGTGGTAAATTTACTTAAATATGTTTTATTATCATTTTTCAGGGTGGAAGACTTAATTTTTAAATATTATTTAGCAAACCTATAGGTGTAAAAAAGAGCAAAATATATCTTTGTTCCTTCACTTTGCGAACATAATGCTAGAATAACTATAGAATATACACTGAAAAAAATGTGAGCCAAACTGAGAAATGCAGTCACTTACCAGTCAGTGTTTATCTTAGCATTCATTTTCAAGTAAAATTGGCCCTAAAACAATAAAAATACATAATTAATATATAAAAATAAAGACACAAAACATGAATCTCATATTAGAGTTCTGTTCATTCATTTAACTCATGAGTTTCTGTCCTACCCTCCCTTAATTCCCATCACAGAATGGCAGCAGCTGAGTTCTGGCCCATGATAGCTGAATGATAGTTAATTTAGCTCCATATCTCTCAGGGACACTGATGGCTGGAGGTTAGAGAGAACACATGCTTTGGGTGAGGAAGGAGTAACTGACTGAGGTGGAAGGTTGAATGGGAAGGTTTATTTTAGATAGCAGTTTTCAATTTTAAAATAAACTATACATGGCTCTGGAAAACAAAATTGAAATCTATGTGGTCGGAAGTCATACATCAACCTTCTGGCGCATTCCTAGCTCTTGGCTCAATTCCAGGGGCCAGATGTTGGTACTCCCATTAGCCATGAAACTGTCAGGTGAAGGCTGTTTCAGGAGATCTTGACAGTATGTTCATCATTTTAAAGAAAAAAAAATGTGTCTCTCCAACATTAATATGCTCCAATACTCAATGGAAGTGATTTGCAGATACTGAACTCATCACAAACTCACAGTTGATATACCTAGGTTCACACTTCTCCCACCACTGAAATGATAGTAATGTAGAAAATTCATTGCTTTGTACCAAATATTTAGAGGTTGTGTTTCAGATACACCTTTTGTTATTAATTTTTGTAATTAAAATCACCATAAACTAAGCTGCTTGAATGAGATTAAATTGTATGAATATAATTGTGATGAACACCCATTCTGTATCTTGTAAAGTTCAAGTACTAGCCAGATATTTTTCATTTTTCTTTTGTTATTTTATTTTTTGAGATTATCATATAATTAAATATTTCCCCTATTCCCTTTTCTTTCTCCAAACCCTTGCATATACTTCTTCTTGCTCTCTTTCAAATTCACAACCTCTATTTCATTAATTTTTGTTATACACACACACACACACATATATATATATATATATATGTATATGTATATGTATATATATTCATATATTTCCAAATATGTAAAAACAATCCTGCTCAGTCTGAATAATGTTACTTATATGTTCCTTTTTAGGGTTAACCTTTTTGTATCAATTGGTGTGGTATTCCTTATGGAAGGAATTTCTCTTGCTCTCAGTGTTCCTTAGCTGCCTATAATTCTTTGTGTAGGCTTGAGACACCTGGACTCCCCACTCCCACAACACCCTATTTACTTTAGCATATCTATTATTATTTTTTTTTGTTCAGTTCATACTTAGGCAGCCATATGTGTGAGACTTTCTTGATGTGACTTCTGACAGCCATAGGTGACAATCTCATAGCAAATCCTCTGTTCCTCTGGCTTTTTTACAATTTCCACCACCACCCCTAGCCCGGTGATCCCTGACTCTTACATATGGGAGTAGTATTGTATATGGATCTATTGGGAATAGGCTCTACAACTCTGGTTTTCTATAATGTTCTCCGAACCAACTTCCAGGGTTAGTAAGGTGATGAATCTTGGAGGATAACAAACAGCACTTAACTAAACCAGCATAATCCATAACTACAGTCCAGATATTTGTCCTTATGACCATAGGTAAGTGCAGTCCTCACCCCTCATCAAAGAAATTTCTCTTTGCAATAGACAGAAATGATGTTTAAAAGGTAGAATGAAGAGATTGAGAGATGGTGTTAGAGGCTCAAGATGAGTAAACAGAAAAGAGTTTGCAATTTAGTTGAGTGTTTAAGGTAGACCAATTAATATATAATAATTTAGATAATACTAGCAGACTGTTGGAAGAGATGAGAAAGGTGATTTTCATTGGCTAAGTTTATAAGGAAGAGTATAAAGAAAGAATTCTGGAGCAATGACAAGGCCATAGCTTTCAAGGTAAGACTTTTATGATTATCTTAAAAACAAAGGAAAAATTCTGCTGCAAATTGAATTGAATATACTAGATTTATAATTCTTCAATGCTAAAAAGATATTCAGGGCTAAAGCACCAGTCTAATTTTTTAGCATGAATCACATTTTATAAAGTAATCTATGAGACATTTAACACCCCTGTCTTCAGGTACAAAATGTCCTTAAAGGTTTGGAAAATGATAGAAGGCTTCATATTGGGTTACAATCCCATATTAATAAGTGAAAATAATTGTTAGAGTTTGCTTTCTATTGTTGTGATTACCACTATGTGATTAACTCTACCAAGAGGAGAAACGGCTTGATTTCAGCTTACTCCCTCCAGTCCATCATAGAGGGAAGTCATGAAGGAGCTCAAGCAGGACCTTGGAGGTGGGAACTGAAACAGAGGCAGTGCAGGAATACTGCTTGAGGAATGCTGCTTACTGACTTGTTCACCATGAGTTGCTCAGCCTGCTTTCTTTTACTTTTTCATTTTTCAGTTTTCTTTCATATATAATCCAGGACCATCTGCTTAGAAGTGCTACTATCCACTGGAATTGTTGATGGTGATTTTGTCTTTAAAATTTTCTGGGGGAGTTTTGGTTCTGGGGTTTAGGCTAGTATTCCTGAACCTACAAAAAGTCTGTGATATGCTTTATGAGAAAAATCCACATCAATATAAGCTTTATACAAGTATAGTGCTGCTTAGTGTGGGTCAGAGTGAACAAATCTATGATACATATTAAATAGGTATTATACCATAAACAGAATTTGTCATGATCCTTGACCCTGGGCTGGCAAGAAAATAATCCAATATTTTCTAGAGAAATAGAAGCAATAGGCTTACTATTTGTTAATTAATTGTTTGCAATATATTTAAGAAACATCCTACAGCAAACACGGTTACTTGTTGGTGGTTACAAGTTTGCCTCTGTGCTTCTGTGTGTATTCGTGTGTGTGTGTGTGTGTGTGTGTGTGTGTGTGTGTGTGTGTGTGTTTGTGTGTGTACACGTATTATGTACATCATAAATCTCCACTAGGTACGCCAATAGTTCCAATTGGCACTCGGTTCTTTGTTAAAAGTAGTCTTTTTTTTTTTTTTAAGAAAAGACTAGTTCCTCCCATGAGAAAATAAAGATGGACAATACATTAAATATTGTGTGATTTACAAATACTGGACATTATTAGTCATTTTATCTGTTCAATTTATGGTTTTACTTTAATATTTAAATAATTGGGTTATTACATTGAGATTCAGTATGAGACAAAATATGTAGCAGTGGCTCCTCAAGATTTACTTACAGAATAGCTTTATCTAAAAAGCAATTCTATCCAGTAAAATGCTCAATTAAAATGAAGAGTATGGAAGGATTTAAAATGAAGTATAGGAGTTTGGACCAAAATGTTGTTTATTCTCTGAATCCCTCTTCCTATTTTGAACTCACATCATCTTCCATATACCTGGTTACTATGTTTAAGGTCCATCATGATAATATTTGTGCAGTATATTTCTCTTACCTTTTAGCTCTTTATAGCCTTAGTATCTGACAAAACATCCCATTACACTTACCAAATGATAGTTAATGAATGTATCATGCTACATTGGGATGTCATATGACTTTGAGATAGGTGTATAAATGCCTTTGTAACTTGTGATATTTACAGCATAACATTTTTCAGTAAAACCTACCAAAAACTTCCTCAGAAGTGCTTTTGAAAATGTCCAAATTTTACCTCAGTCTGCTCTGAGCTCAGTGGAGTAAAACAATATGTGAATTTGGGTAAATAGGGTTTTTATGCTGACTCTACCACCTAATAATCACAAAGCATCCAAAAATTATGAAAATATTGTAACTTTTAGCTTCTTTGAATATGAAGTGTTAACTCTAGAATAGCATCCATGTAAAAGTTAATGCCACAGAGCATGCATTTATACATGCCAATTTTCATTCTTTGGAGATAATATCTACGCACATGTCTTGAAATAGTTCCAATGATATGAAGTTCCCTATGAAGTTATCATTGTCTTAATTTAATAGTGTAGGAATCTAGATGCAGCTGGAGGGCTGTGAGTTATCAAAAATGTCTCTGCTATAGGCAATAATTTTAATGTTAATTAACTCCATCTGGAAGGAATAGCAGGTGTTGAAATTGATCACTTAAGTACAGAAAGCAAAAGCTGTTTACTAAACTCTCCCTAAATTAATTTGAGCTTGTGGTTAAATTGCTTTCAAGTCACTTTTCTACGAATGCCTTATACCAAATGCTGAAATTGGAAAAAGAAGTAGACCAAGCAGATTCTAATGAAATGTAACAAATTGTTCAGAAAGGTCACCTAAAAATAAAATTACATTTTAAAAATGGAAAAAAAATGCAATATTCATTTTTGCTTCAATAGCAGGTAGAATTTGGGGAAAATTATCTCCCTCATGTGGTGCACAAATCATTCACCTGCATCAAATTAATGTGAGTGCACTAGAAAGGGTAGAATTCTGGGCTTTCGGCCAAACAGATGGGATTAGATTCAGCAGCAAGGCCTAGGAATCTGTATTTTCACAAATACCTAGGGAGCTTTTCATCTTGCTCAAACACAACTGTTTTTCTCAGACCAGAGATGTAGCCAATCTCATTGACATGACCCAAGGGCCTGAAAGAGGATGAATGAAAATAGTGATTTTCTCTGAGAGAAAAACCAAGACAATTAGAATGTATCATGGTGACTAAGATGCCAGGTCAAAACTACCTGTACTGTTTAAAAAAATAAACTGTTACAGTGGTAGCAGAGAGTTAGTTCATTTGTTCCCTGTCACTATCTAGTTCCTGTACAGAAAGCTGGGATTTCTCCATCTTCTATTCAGGCCCTTCCTTAGGAATCTGATTTGGTTGTCCTTTGTTTTTCAAAGTGAGGTTCGGTAACACTGGTATCACCCTGATGGACACAATCAGAGGCTTGGGGCATGAGGCCTAGAAATCTACCTTTTAGCAATGTCTCCAGGTATAAGGACACATAGAAGTCAGTGGACCATTGTGTGTCCTTTATGAGTCAATAATTTGTTAACTAGTCAACTGCTCTGGACACACCATGTGGGGG